AGGCACTGAGTTTTATAAATGGGAGCATGATAGTGTAGAATAATCATAGCCAAGGACCAGTGGTGGGTTTCAAATTTTTTTGGGAACCTCTTCTGTAGCTGTGGCCTGCTTTCTGGGTCCACTGGTGGAACCTCTTCTAACCGGTTCGGTAGATTTGATGAACCGGTTCTACTGAATAGGTGCGAACTGGTAGGAACCCACCTCTGGTTTAGATTTGCACTGCTACCATAAATGGTAGGTTTGCAGAATTATAAAAGTCCACTGAAAGCAATGAGGCCCACTTTGAAGAAGGAAGGCCATCTCACCCCCACATTCCTTTATTTCTTTAGAAAAGGTCAGGGAGAGTTAGGGGTACAATTCGGCACCTCAATTTTCTGGAAGCCATCTGGTGAGGTAATTGTATTACAAAAATGGATATGGGGGTTAAACATTTTTTTTGAGGTCTTTATTTTGGAATCTTTTCCAAAGTTTTGTATATGCTAATCCCAGTACTATTTCCACTGATAAAAGCCCCCTCAAACCTCCAAAAATGACTGAAATTAGCGTGAATAAGTGATTTTTGACTATTTGAGAGATAAAGGCCTCCACCTACACTGTTGAAATCTGACTGCCAAAATTTGTCAGTGCAATGTCAGGGCACTGCTAAATGAATTAAAATGTGGGGGTATGATTAAATCAGGTTCAAAGTAGCTTTGAAGCTAAAGATTGATACAAGGAAATAAAACAATTATGTTAATGTCACTCCAAACAGCTGTAGTCAGAAAATTGTTTCAGCAATCATCAGATTAAAAAAAAATCTGCTTGGGAAAGGAGGATATGTAACCAATTTAAACATATAAGGTGCCATATGCTAAATAAAATAAAATAAACATATAAGGAAAGGATAAATGGGAGAATAAACAAATCCTTTATTCCAATCCTACTTGAATCTGCACGTTTACAATTCAAAAGATCCTCTCTCTGTCTCCCTCCCTCCATCTCCCTCTTCCCTCTTTTTGAGCAAGGATGAAACAAAGCAAAAACAACAACAATATACTTTACTATAACTGAGACCCAATGTGTTTTGAAGGGACACCCCTTTGTCAGGGATATAGTACAGGCAGATTGCAAATCATGGAAATGCTGAAATTAGATTTCAGGTTCAGTAAGAATAAAGTTTCTTTCCCACTGTTTTATTTCTGGTGTAACTTTGTCTTGTTGCTTCACCAACTTTATCTCTGCTGGCAAAGACTTCAAGTAGGAACATCTAGGAACATCCCATGTTTATGTAGTTGTAGGCTATTTAGAAATAGAGGGGATGAAGCCAGAGTGCTATACTAATATCTGAAACCATCAGAAGTCGGTATATTTGGAGCAATTTTGTCTTAAATTGTCAGACATTACAGCACTTTAATGATTTTGGTCAATCACCTTATGTGCTGACATGTTATAATGAAAGCCAATCTCATGCTTTTGGGGCTGGTATGTCTGCTATGATTTGTACATTTTCACTTACCAATATAACACACAGTGAGGAATCT